CTACAAAAATGAATACGATTTGTTTTGGATTTAGAAAATTTAAAACCGTTTTCAATTGACCATTTATGAATTTTATTGAGACATAGTTGTAGTTGCCTCTCTATTGTATGCATATTTTTACCACGACAAGAAACATTAAAATCATCCACGAAAAGTGATCCATCAACTGAATCATTTAAGACCCTTGACAGGCTGTTTATTTTAATACTAAATAATGTTACAGACAAAATACTGCCTTGTGGGACACCCTGATCCTGATTGTAATGGTCAGACAGGTTTGAACCCACTCGGACTTGAAATTGCCTGTTTGTTAAAAATTGTGAGATTAAACGAGGTAAACGACCTCTCAAACCGAAATCATGTAAATCCTTCAAAATACCGTACTTCCAAGTAGTATCATATGCTTTCTCCAGATCGAAGAAAATTGATACTACGTGTTGTTTATTAACATTAGCATTCTTAATATAGGATTCCAGTCGTACTAAATGATCAATAGTACTTTGGTTTTTCCTGAAACCACATTAAATATCTGTAATTAGATTGTTGGTTTCCAAATACCAAACTAATCTATTGTTCACTATGCGTTCCATGGTTTTACAAACGCAACTGGTTAACGATATAGGGCGATAATTTGAGGGGTCTGTGTGATCCCGGCCAGGCTTTGGTATAGGGATTACAATGGCATTGTGCCAGAAAAGGAGGAAAGTTCCCTGAAATCCAAATATGGTCAAATCATTCTAAAAGTGTCAAAAGACATGATTGAGGCAGATGCTTTAGTAACTGGTAATGAATGTTGTCATCACCAGCTGCAGTATCATGAGCTTGCTCGAGAGCGGTATGTAGCTCATGTAATGAAAATACTTCATTATAATCTTCAACGTTATTAGAATCAAAATTCATTTTTTGTTTTTCTTGTCGATTTTTATATTTCTGAAATTCAGGGATATAATTAGATGATGAAGATTTTCTGGAAAGAGTTTCACCAGTTTTATTGGCAATATCACTCTAACCAGTTATCAATTTATCACCTTCTTTACGATGTTTAACAGAAGACTTGGAGTGAGTGAGTGAGTGAGTTAATAGTTAACGTCACATCGGCAATATTTCAGCCATATCGTGACGAGAACATGTGATATTGAAATGAAATATATGTATATTATGAAAAACCTGCCGACGAAGGACAGTAAAACAACTAGAATATCACAGATATGTATGTAAAACTAGTAATTAAATCTAAAACGTTTTAACTATAGGGGAAAACGATACAGTATAAAAATGGGCTATAAATCGCCAAAAACTGAAGGTAGATCACCATACCAGGGACCATGGGGACTTACAGAAGACTTGGAGCATTTGCCTTTTATTCTCTGGACCATATTCCATACTTTAGACATGGGTGTGCGGGAATTAATGTTGGAGACATATTTCCTCCAAGACTGGCGCTTGTTTTGTTCATAAGCACGTCGTGCCTTGGCATTTGTAATTTGAACATTATTTAAGTTATGAACTGTAGGATGTCTGCGGAAGTACTTTTCTGCTTTCTTCCTACACTTCCTTGCTTGTTTACATTCATTGTTAAACCATGGCTTACGAATATGAGGAGTTGCAGAGGACTTACGAATTGACTGGTCAGCAATTTCATTCAACAGAGCTGAAAACAACTCTATAGGATCTGGTACATTTTTAAAATTGTCCGGTATTAATTTATCCACACACAATGTTTCATACAAAGACCAATTTGCCTTCGTAAAATTCCATCGTGATAAAGATGGTTCATCATCCGGTTTTATAGTTTTTAGGACAGTTGTGAAGTGATCACTTCCACAAAGGTCATCATGAACGGACCATTCAAATTCGTTGTAGATAGTTGAATCAGCGAGGAACAGATCAAGAGTGGAATAAGTTCCTGTAGCAGGATGTAAATCGGTGCTTGAATCATCATTACAAATACACAAACTATTATCCGAAACAAAATCTTCAATGACTTTGCCTTTATTATTTATATTTGTACTTCCCCATAGAGGGTTATCCCCGTTTAAATCACCCATGATGACACAGGGTTTGGGGAACTGATCATATAAAGCTTGTAGATCTGCCTGCTGTAAAGTCGAAGAGGGTGGGATATACAAAGAGCAGAGTGTTAAGGCAATGTGAAATGTTAGCCGAACTGCAACAGCCTGAAGATTGGTAGTAAGTGGAGCAACACTATGTATGCCATCCTGTCTTACCAAGATGGAGGAACCTCCAGTGACTTTTGCACCTGGAGGGGAAAAGTGATTATACAAATTGTATTTTCTGATATCACTTTTGTCTGTGTCTCAAAGATATGTTTCTTGTAGACACATTGCTAATGGTGTAAAATCCTGTATTAAAATCTGTAAATCGTTAAAGTTATTCCTAAATCCTCTACAATTCCACTGGATTATGTTGGACGATTGAGTCATGGTGGCTCAATCGGGGAACGTTCTCGTCGTGAGGGCGGATCCCTACCGCTCTGTGACGGATGGGTTATGTCCATATCAAGAGCTTCAAAGGAGTTATGGACGACTATCTCTGAAGGTGAAGGTTTTTTGTTTGCCTGTTTTCTAATTTTTCATTTCTGGTCAAAGGTTGTACAACTGGTTCAGCTGTGACTCGGGGCATCAGGTACATCGTCATCAATTTGAGAATGATTCACAGTTTGAGTTGAAGACGTGTCGGAATCACTGATATAAGTGAGCCTGACAGGCTGATTTGAATTGATCCATGTCAAATCAGTCTGAACAGAAACAGATGTGCAAGGAGAAGCAGTATGGGTTACAACTGCAGAATATGATCTATTTAGATGCATTATTTGAATCTGATTTTCTACAAGTTTCTTTGCTTCCTGAAACGAAATGTTTTTCTCGTGTTTTAACTCTAGTGTTTTGACTGGTTTTGCCACAGGACATAACCTTGAGGAAGCTACATGTTGACCTTTACAGTTTGCACAGTGTATTTCAGCTGAGCAGTCAGTGTTCTCGTGTCCCTCTCCACAGCGGTGACACACAGCAGATTTGGAGCCATGCCCAAATTTCTGACACTTAAAACATCGGAGCGGATTGGGGACATACACCTCTACTCCGATGTTGACATAACCAGCTTTTATTGATTTCGGCAGGACCGACAATGAAAAGGTGAATAGATATGTACTAGACGGAACTATGTCACCGTCTCGTGTTTTCATTGTGAAACGTTTGACTGTGGTCACACCTTGGTTTTTCAGTTCAGTTGCGATTTCCTCCTCAGACATGTCAGACAGGCAACGTGCTCTGTCACGAACAATGCCACGGCAAGAATTCAAGGTTTTGTGCACAAACACAACAACCTCAATGTTCGCAAATGTTTTCAGTGATAACAAGTTCACAAATTGTTGTCTCCTTGAATACTCAATAAGCAGTGCTCCACTTCGAAGACGTGTCACGTTCTCCACTTCGCCACAAATTCCTGAAATAGCGAATGGATTAAGTTTAATTGGTTGTTTATCTGCTGCCTCGATAACTATAAATCGAGCCCATGAATCAAGTGCAGGACAGACATTTACATTTTGACCAGTTTCATCAGTTTCTACATGTCTACGTTTAGATCTGTTTGAACCAGGGTTTTGTTGAGCCATAGTGGAAATAATGTGATTCAGCATCCCTGCTCCCCACCCACCATGGAGTGCCAAAATGAGCGTTGTTTAATAGCATCGGATCTCCAACATGCAAACACCGGGGATACAGGGATGTTATACTTCAGCAAATATGACGCGAAAAGCTGCGTTAGTTTACCAAAGTAAATGTTTGGTTACTTCGCCCAAAACAAGAAATTGGAAACATGCAGATTTTGGAGGACAACATCACCAAATTGGCCCATGAGCCACCGCCTTCTGGCATGAGACTCTAGGCAGATTTCATTTTGACCAATCAAAACATATAGATTCAAATAATTTATGTGCATACAATTCATGCACAGGGCTTGGCATGACCAGCCGATTGGTTGAACCGGGCCCATTCAACCACCCGTCTAGGTGAAGTAAGGGGCGAAGTGGTGTGTTGGGCAAAGGAACGCTGTTCCTTGAACCAGTGCCCTCAACCACCAGACTCCCGTCCTCCACCGACACAGGGGCCCAACCCACGGCAAACGAGTTGGTGGACCAAATATACCCCCGGGTCCACAACGGGGGGTCGAAGAGCGCTTAGCGTTACCCAGCACCCACCACGAGGAGGTGGCTCTTCACGGGTGCCTTCAGATGTAAGACTTGCACATAATGCTTTCAATCATCTCCTTTATATATGTTGTTAATGCACAATTTATTTTATTGTAACCCGTGAAGAATATCCGGGTTACAATTGTTTTTCAGCAACCCATGCTTGTTGTAAGGGGCAACTAACGGGATCAATGCTCACTGGAGTGTTTAGTCCAGTCTCGAAGATTTACAGACAGCACTCGTTGCAATTCTGACACGTTTCATGGATAACGACTCCTTTTTAATTCTTTGTACGACGTGTCAGAGCTAATGCTTGCTCCTTTATCAGATGAATGCCGAGTCAGTTCAAAGAGTATAAATAGATTAAAACATTGTACACAATGCAAGGAGATTGTTCAAAAGTATCAATATAATTACGAAGCCAATTATATTGGATTAATGTACAGAAATAACATTGTATTATAATGACAAAGCCAAGAGTGGGTGAGGGGTGTGTGATGTGTGATGTACAAAGATAACACAGTAGCAGGCCCAATTCATGCAAAACGATGACAATGAAACTTACGTAGAACAAAATCAAGGAACACATAAATGCCCCTACTTTGTGATTCTAGGTTGGGACTGGCGACTGTGGTTTCAAAACGTGCCAAGAGATGAGATGCCCGAAGACATGTGCTGGACAAATTGCCTGTGTCAAAGGTACTTACAATCATTTATTCTTGTACAAATGATGAGCAACATGGGGAAATTGTGCTCCAAACGTGTGACCATTTATGTATGTCTTCTTCAGGTGGACGAGATCAGGCTCAACGTCAGAACACTGGTAACTCTACTCTCATTGATGCCTGCAGAAATGGAGACCTGCTTCAAGTGAAACACATACTGTCACAAGGTACTGCAAACATCAATACAAGGGGGAAGTATGGCAGGACACTGGCAATGATAGCGGCAAAGGAGGGGCAGAGAGAAATACTTGAATTACTTGTAAAGAAAGGCTCTGATTTGTCTCAACTGGATGATGATCATAGCAATATCTTACATCTTGCCTCTCAGGAAAGACACTTAGAGATAGTGAAGTACATCCATTCACTGAACATAATTGACATTGAAAGTAGAGACTTTCATGGGAATACACCAATCATGCTGGCTGCATTGTTCGGACAGACGAGGGTGTTCAGTTTCCTTGTACAATTGGGAGCAGATGTCTCATTGTTGGATGATAACGCTGAGAATATTCTTCATCTGTCCTGCCGAGGTGGGGATGAGGAGATCGTGAAATATATAATCAAACTCAATGTGGTGGACATAAACAGTAAACAGCATAGAGACATGACAGCAATGTTACTGGCAGTCGCATTTGGGAATAGGGCTGCATTTGAGTATCTTGTGGAAATGGGAGCTGATCTGTTGGCAGTAGATATATTTGGAAACAGCGTCCTTCATTTCGCCTGTCAAGGAGGATATATGGACATAGTCAAGTATGTCCTTAAACAAAACATAGGGGACATAAATACTATGGCGGATGACGGGAGAACCCCAGCATTGATTGCAGCTGTTTCTGGCCATTCAGCATTATTTGAGTATCTTGTGAAACGTGGAGCGGATCTGTCGGTAGTAGATGAAGATGGTTACAACATCCTTCATTTGTCCTGTGAAGGAGGAAATATGGACATAGTGAAGTATGTCTTCAAACTAAACGTAGTGGACATAAACGCTAGAGCGGATGAAGGGCAAACCCCAGCATTGATAGCAGCTGATTTCGGCCATTCAGCAGTACTTGAGTATATTGTGAAACGTGGAGCGGATCTGTCGGTAGTAGATGAAGATGGTTACAACGTCCTTCATGTGGCCTGTGAAGGAGGAGATCTGGACACAGTAAAGTATGTTCTTAACCTAAATGTAGTTGACATAAATAGTAAGGGGATTGACGGGTATACCCCAGTAATGCTTGCAACAGAACTGGAGGATAGAGATGTGTTTGACTTACTGATTGAGAGAGGAGCTGATGTCTCAGTGGAACATTATGATAGTGATAACGTGTTTTGCATTGATATGATCACGTTCTGTAAGATGTGCTGTCACACAGCATGGCAGACCTACCCATAAAAAACCTGTACTGATTAAAAGCATCTTTGACAACATGGTCTAGCTGGAGAGCCTTAGTTACGCTTCAACATCGGCCTTGGTCACATTCGATGGTGTGTGGGGACGGGGAGATAACCATGTCATATTCCTACAATATTTCTCTGCACCATCATTATGGTTCACCAAAAGCACATGAGAGACATACAGGTTTGCTATCATCTGATGAAGGCAACACGATTGTCTGATGTTCGGCCAAGTTTCATAATCTCAAATCATTACCAGTAGACTATCGCGGCCTATAACGCCCATGACTGTAACATCCTTTATTGACAATATTTCATCGACAACAATCTATCAATGGATGACCGAACTAGGAAGTGTGGACATATAACACCAGTGCTAACTTCCCTACACTAGCTCCCAGTCCAAGCTCGAGTCCAATACAAGATTCTCGCCTTGTCATATAAATGTGTCAGTCAAACAGCTCCTGCCTATCTGACATGATTGATTGAGAGAAATATGAACCTTCTCGGACACTTAGATCTGCTGATCAGTTACTTCTTAAAGTACCCAAAACTCGCCTCAAAAAGTATGGACAGAGATCATTTGCTCACATGGCCCCGACTCTGTGGAACGATCTTCCCTTGGGAATAAAGAAATCCCAATAATTGGCAGTCTTTAAAAACTGCCTAAAGTCTCATATCTTCCAAAAGTTCTAGAAAGATTGATATACCAGTGAAAATATAGCACCTCTACTGCAGTGTATTTTAATTTTGTGTAGCGCCATGAGCAGACACAAAGTGCCTGGGGTTTTGGTGCATAACAAATCAACTGTATTATTATTGTATAGTCATTAATATTATGTGTTATTCATGCAACCAAGCACTGCCTGTTTATGGGCCCATGGCCTTTTTTACTGAATAAACTGTATGCCTGTCAGTTGGTTCATTGTTATTTCATCCAATGTTGTCAACACTTTGCACCTGGGGCGATGAGGTAGCCTAGTGGTTGAAGCGTTCGCGCATCACACCGAAGACCCGGATTCGATTTCCCACATGGGTTCAATGTGAAGACCAACATTCAGTGTTGGGTAATGCTTTCAAAGTGTTGGGACTTACATACCCTCTCAGGGGGACAATAATTTTACGATACTTCAACCCCCCTTGAGGGTAGAGCCACTAACAATCTAAGTTACTAATCAAAACTACCAATCATTAAAACACATCTATCTACAGAACATATTTATCAAAATTCATTAATTAAATCAATTTCTTTTAAAAAAGCGAGAATTAAATGAAGATGAACAGTATTAAAAAGATCCTTAACAGTTTTAACATTGAAATATTTATCCCTTATGATGGAGAATTCAACACAGGCAAGCAGGACATGCTTGACTGTGACTCTCTCATCACAAGGGATACAAAACGGAGGATCTTCACCTTTTAACAAGTATTTGTGAGTGTACCTTTTATGGCCAATGCGACATCGTCGCATGATGACCTCTTCAAATCTGGACTGACAACCCGAGTAGGTGTAACCAATATAGGGTTTTATTTCATGTAATTTATTAATACCTACCTGGGTGTCCCACTTCTTCTGCATCAGATCACGGATGTAAGTTCTAATGCTAGCTTTGTAGTCAGAGTATGGAATCAGAAGTGGTGTCATAGATTTGTTGACTGCTGCCTTGGCAGCAAGATCGGCCATTGTGTTCCCAGAAATGCCAACGTGGCTGGGTACCCAACAAAAGACGATGTCGCATTGGCCAGTAGCAAGCTCATTATACAATTCAATAATTTCTAATAAAAGTGGATGTTTACAAGAAAGATTTTCAATAGCATGAAGACACGAAAGAGAATCAGAAAAGATGATTTATTGTTTATATTTACGGTGTTTATTTATATATTTAAGAGCTGTTAATATGGCGTTAGCTTCTGCTGTGAAAATAGAGCTATTATTTGGTAGTCGAGAAGATATTGTTCTGGATCCAATGACAGTGGCACAAGCCACCGCGCCACCATCCTTGGATCCATCTGTAAATAAGGATTTATATGTATTATATTTATTTCTTAATTGACTAAATTCTTGTTTATACTGTAAATCATTAGTTTCTGCTTTCTTAAATTTTGTCAGTGTGAGGTAAACTTGTGGTCTCACTAATTGCCAAGGGGGAGAAGAAAGAAGACGGGAAGGAGCTATATTGTCCAGCTCAATGCCGGCAGCAGAAATGAATGGTTTCATTCTCAAACCAAGAGACGGAACCAGAGAAGGCTTTTTGTTGTACAAATCCTCATAAGGAGGATTAAAAACACAGTTAAATGCAGGATTTGACTCATTAGAATATAGTTTTGTTACATACTGCAAGGATAGTTTTATACGGCATTGTGTAAGAGATGGCTCATCGGCCTCGACGTAGAGACTGTCAACAGGAGAAGTTCTAGAGGAACCAAGATAAGTCTTAGACCTTGGTGGTGGACAGAATCTAATAGTTTGAGGTTACTTTTGCAGGCTCCACCATACACGATGGAACCATAATCAAGTTTGGAACGTACCAGTGATCGATATAGATGTAGAAGGGTAGCTTGATCCCCTCCCCACTTAGAATTGGAAACGACTTTCAACAAGTCAAGGGCCTTCAGGCATTTACTTTTAAGGGATTTAATATGTGGCAGAAAAGTGAAATGGGAGTCAAAAATTAGACCCAAGAACTTGGCCTCCTTGACAACTTTTATGGGCGTGTCATCTAGAGATAGTTCAGGGTCTTTATGTGGTTTGTATTTACGGCAGAAATGTATGCAATTAATTTTTTGATTTAGAAAATTTAAAGCCATTTTCAAGACACCATTTGTTTACCTTGTTTAAACACAACTGTAGTTGCCGTTCAATGGTATGCATATTTTTACGGCGACAAGAAATAATTAAATCATCCACAAATAACGATCCATCTATTGAATCATTTAAAACTTTTGATAAACTATATATCTTTATGCTAAATAATGTGACAGACAAAATACTGCCTTGTGGAACACCCTGATCCTGATTGTAATGATCAGACAGGGTAGAACCCACACGGATTTGAAATTGTCTGTCCTTTAAGAAGTTGGCTATAAATTTAGGCAAACGGCCTCGCAATCCGAAGGCATGTAAATCTTTTAAAATGCCATATTTCCACGTAGTGTAATATGCCTTTTCAAGATCAAAAAAGATAGACACAGCCTGTTGTTTATTAATTAGAGCGTTTTTAACAAATGATTCCAAACGCACTAAGTGATCGAAAGTACTTCTATTTTTACGGAAACCACATTGTATATCTGTTATAAGGTTATTTGTTTCCAAGTACCAAACATGTCGATTATTTATCATTCGTTCCATGGCAGAAGAAGTGGGACACCCAAGTAGGTATTAATAAATTACATGCAATAAAACCCTACATTGGTTACACCTACTTGGGTTGTCAGTCCAGATTTGAAGAGGTCATTATGCGACGATGTCGCATTGGCCACACTAGATATACTCACGAATATTTACTGAAAGGCGAAGATCCTCCGTTTTGTATCCCTTGTGATGAAAGAATCACAGTCAAGCATGTCCTGCTTGACTGTGTTGAATATTCCATCACAAGGGATAAGTATTTTAATGTCAAAACATTGACGGATCTTTTTTATAATGTTAATTATCATTTAATAGTTGAATTTTTAAAAGAATTAGATTTGTTGACTGATCTGTAAATAGCTAAATATTTTATTGTTGGTAGTTTTTATTAGTAACTGAGATTGTTAGTGGCTGTACCCTCAAAGGGGGTTGACGTAGCGTAAAAGTATTGTCCTCCTGAGAGGGTACGTCAAAGTCCTTGCCAGGAAAAAATTTCACTTAAATTGTTGATATATTTCTAACTTGCTTTCAAAGTCAATTTAAACTCACTGCCAGGATTTTTAAACGTAGCATTTTTGTCATTTTAATTGTAGCTAACATTTCTTACAATCGCCATCAGCTGAAGGGATGGTGTAAATCTAACTAGGGTCCATGCAGGTAGCCAAGGTACTGTAAGTCCCCATGGACCCTAGTATGGTGATCGACCTTCAGTTGTTGGCGATCTATAGCCTGTTTTTATCTTGTATTGTCCTAATAGTGCTATTAGTTTTAACCTTCCACACTAGTTTTAAATCTAATTGTGATATTCTAGTTGTTTTACTGTCCTTCGATGACAGGTTTTATAATATATACATATTCCATTACAATGTAAAATGTTCTCGTCACGATATGGCTGAAATATTGCCGATGTGACGTTAAATATTAACTCACTCACTCACTCATTCGTTCCATGGTTTTGCAAACACAGCTAGTTAGTGAAATAGGTCTATAATTAGACGGATCTGTATGATCACGTCCAGGTTTAGGTATTGGTACTACTATAGCGTCACGCCATGAGGGAGGAAAGTTACCAGATGTCCAAATATGATCAAAAATATTTTCTAGAGTTTCTAGACAGGATTCTGGTAAGTGCATCAGGAGTTGATAATGTATGTTATACATCAGCCCCTGTAGCAGTATCGTGAGCTTGTTCAAGAGCAGTATGGAGCTCATGAATAGAAAATAGTTCATTATAGTCTTCCCCATTATCTGAATTCAGATTAATAGTTTTCTTTTCTTGTTGTTTTTGATATTGTTGGAATTTAGGCACATAATTAGAAGAGGAAGAGTGTTTAGCAAGAGTTTCACCCAGTTTATTCGCAATATCTGATTTATCAGTAAGTAATTGATCTCCATGTTTAAGATGATGGACGCTAGATTGAGTACCTTTACCTTTAATTTTCTGTACCATGTTCCATACTTTGGACATGGGCGTTCGAGAAGTTATTTTGGATACATAATTTTGCCAAGATTGGCGTTTAGTGTGTTTAAAGGTACGCCGCGCTTTAGCATTTAAAATTTTAAATTTGTTTCAATTATGCACCATAGGGGGCAACGGAAATAACGTTCTGCTTTTTTCCTTGCCTTCCTAGCTTGTTTGCACTCGTCGT